CCCCCACCCCACCACGCCACTCCTACTCCGTGGCACGTCAGTATTATTTGGGCATTAGCCTGGGGGGGAGGCCTTGTTCATCACCACGCTTGCTGAGAAGGCCTCCTTGTTTTGTTGCATAATAAAGATTATAAAACAATATTATTCATAGAATGAGGAACACCATCCACCAGCGGTTGCTCTAATAAGAGCAAGCCCAACACGGTCAACCCCAAGAAACCGACCCCACAGAGAAGAAGTGCGCTGGTAGGCAGTTGGGCCCCCTCCCTGGTGCTCCTAAACAGTGCGCCCAAACCCCGGCTGCCCCGCAGCGATGGACTATAGCCACACCTCACTGCCCACTCCTGGGTTAGCACTCTCCAGCCTTACCTTTCTCAAATAGCTCAACCTCCCTGCAAAAATAAAAACAAAAGCAAAAAAAAAAAAAATTGGAAAAAGAGTGATAGGGGAAAGCACCAGCACTTCCTGACAGCATCCGGGACGGAAACGCTGGGTCGGAACTGCCTTGCCACTTCATGTCAGAGGCTTGTCTGCGCAGGCTTGATTTGGAAGAATTCTCCCAGGTCAGGGGAAGGCAGGAGCCCAGGAGGGCAGTGTGAGAACCTGTTCCCGCCATGACTGCTTTCCAGGACGTTCCTGTAATCCCAGCTACTTGGGAGGCTGAGGCAGGAGACCCCAGTCTGTGGGACTTCCCTTCGAGGACGGGGAGCGCCATTTCCCATGCAAACCCACCCTCCTCGCTGCCCTGTGCTGCAGAGGCTGGGAGGCCAGGAGGCAAGGAAGCCAGGAGGCTGACTGTTAGGGACCGCTTCCATGCCTCTGGCTTCTGGGCAGTTCTGCTAGTGCGAGACAGACACCACAGGACAAGGGTGAGAAGAGAAGTGTTGGGCTGAGGCCTTTCTGCCCACAGCCCCTGTCAGGGTGCACCTCCCCACCCCTGCAGCCCCTTCCGGTCCTGTGACTCACCCTCCCCACCCCTGCAGCCCCTTCCGGTCCTGTGACTGTCCCTGTGCAGCTCTTTGGCACTGGGAGCCAGGACCACCCCCAAGGCATTACATTGTGCCTTGCTGGCCGGGCCACTGACCCTCCAGCCACTCTACTATTTTGCAAACGATCCTTTAATTAAGCCCTCTGGGTTGACCCAGTTGGTGTGATATCTGATTTTTTTTTTTTTTTCCTCTGGGGCTTTGACCGAAACACGCTCCACTGCTGACATTAGTCTTGAACATCACACTGCTTCGTGGCACTGACTGGTAGTGAGGATTCAGAGACAGGACCGAAAGCGGCATTTCAGGGCTGTAAATGTGGCAGGTCACAGCTGCTTGGTCCCTTGCCTGGGGGCATCAGGGTAATTCTATTTTATCTCTGTAATAGGAATAACTCGCTTGTACCAAGTGTTTTCTATGTACCAGGGAGAGTATGAAGGGATCGATTCATATTAATTTGTTGAATCTTAACAGTGAAGCAGAGGAGTGCCTCGTGTTTTCTGGTTTTTACAGATGAAGAAAGCTAGGTGTAGAGAGGCCCAGGGAGCCCCTGCAACCCCGCACGGAGTGGACAGGGAGGCCAGGTGTCAGCTGGGGTCAGACTGGCTCAGCGGCTGGTCCGCCAACCGTGCGGCACATGGCCTCCCCGGGAGCAATGCCTTCCTCCACCCTTCCAGCCCTCCACGGGAGCTAAGCCTGCAGACACCCACGTTCAGGTACCAGCAAGTGACATGGCCATGGGCCGAGCCACCCACACGCACAGCAGCGTTTTCGTCTCAGACAGCAAACCTGACTTCCCCTCGGGAGCAAACCAGGTGTCTGCTGAAAGACTGCTGGCTCTGCCCTGCAGAGAGAAACAAGAGCACTCATGGGCCCCTTGGAGTCTCCTCCAGATAAGCTCCTGCCCCCACAGGACCTGGGCCTGGGAGCTGCTTTCATTTTCCTCCATTTCCCAAATGCCACCTCAGAGAACAACTGGTGTGTGGTGTTTGGTTGTTGACAGAGGTGCTTTGGGGGTTCCGCCAAGCAATTAAATGATTTTGAAAGGCGTAACTAATACGTTTAAAATGTAATAACAGTCAACATGCATGCTCAAATGTATATCAGATTCCAGTAAATGACCAGGACAGTGGCTCCGATGGGTTGAAATCCAGTGCGCCTCACATGTGCACATACATGCTAGCTGTTATTACAATTTAAAATAATTTTTAAAATAAGCAAGAGTTTAAGGTAATCTGTCTTTGAAAACTGTTTACAAATACTTATCACTGTAAGTCAGAATTTTTCTGAAGACTCACAACAAAAGAACACATAGAAATAAAATAGATACTAGGGTTGATAGGGCGGCCATCTGTAGTCCCACATTCTTTAAAATAGTCACATTGTCCTCAATTTCAGCTTACAAAATACATTTTGGAATTTTTTATTTAATTATTTGAATAGACAATATATTCTTGTGGTTCAAAATTTTAAAAATTCATGCAGATACGGCAAGGTCTCCCCCTACCCATGGCCCCCCAGGCACCCCGTTCCCCTCCTCACAGGAAGGCAAGGCAATTAAATGTTTCCTGCTTCCTTCCAGGGTTATTTTATGCACCCACAAGGAAATGGATGCGTCTATTTGCATTCTTCTCTCCGTTTTTAAAACACGGGATGGCGTAGGATGCACCTGCTCCACGTCGGCCTTCTTCACTCCATGTGTCTTGAAGATGGTCCCTGGCGGTGGAGGAAAAGCTTCCGCTTTCTTGTTTACTCCGCGTCCTGTTCCATTGTGAGAGCGATAAAACAGATTCATGCTTTATTGTGAAATCATATTTGCGGGAAAAAAATCTTCTACTGAATTTTTTTAAATAAATGTATACATGTGTTTTAACCGTCTCCAATTGCAAAGACAGGATCCCGGCCCGGAGAGACGGGATGCCCACAGGCAGTCAGGAGCAGAGGAGTTCGGGTACCAGACAGCCGGCTTCTCCTATAGGGAGTGCAGGACCAGCCTCCCAGGACCTGGTTAGGCTGCGGCACATGAGGGAATGTCCCCCACCCCTCCTTGAATGATTGTTTTAAAAGTCTCTACTTGAGAATGATGCATTTATGTTGGTGATAGAAACAGTCCTAGTGTACTAGCTAAAACTTCAGTAGAATTAAATGCAGCAGCAGGAGAGAAATTTTGTGTCCGGAAAGGGACTGTAACTCTTCGCCTGTTTAACAACGCAAGCTGTTAGGACTCACACATCAAGGGCCACTGATGCAGTCAGAGCGGAGTGGTGGTCATGGCAGAGCATCCTTTAAAACTATAATGGGGTGAGAACTGGCAGTATGGTGATTTTTTATAATGGTGACAGGGAGTGGAGGAAGGGTGACTAGGGGACAGATTACGAGCAGTGAGTCAAATGCTACCCAAGCGTTTAGTTCTCTAGAGTAAAGAAATAGCCAGGTGTAGTGGCTCATGCCTGTAATGTCAGCACTTAGGGAGGCTGAGGCAGGAGGATCACTTGAAGCCCGGAGTTTGAGACCAGCCTGGGCAACACAGCAAGGCCCCATCTCTACGAAGAATTTAAAAATGAGCTGAGTGTGGCGGCACTCACCTCTGTAGTCCTAGTTACTCTGGAGGCTGAGGCAGGAGGATCGCTTGAGTCCGGGGGTTTGATGTTGCACTGAGCTATGCTTGCACCACTGTACTCCAACCTAGGCAACAGAGTGAGACCCTGTCTCTAAAAAACAAACAAACAAACAAAAAAAACTAAAGACATAGAGTTTTATGCAAAGCTCTCTGCCTACAGACTTTGACATGGTAGAAGTTAAAAGCAAATCGCCCTCATATTCTAGTAGTAAAATGACTGCACATTCTCCAAATAGAGACTATTTTAAAATTAGGTTGAACTAATGTGAGAATAGTACAAATCATGGTTTGGAAGGTGTTTCCATTTGCTTCTCTTCTATTCTGAGTGTTGTTTGCAACATACATGTTGCTTATTTCCCGTGAGTGGGGTGCCTTCCTCCCACTGGTCCTGTCCCCACAGCAGGGCAGCAAGAGCGGGACTTAGGCACCTCCAGAGGGATTAGCCACCAGGGGCCAACAGTGACTTCCTGTTTCCAAGGTAGGCTTAATCATGACACCCTGTCCTCGGAAACCACATGTCTCCATGGGGTTGAAACAACTTTATCTGTTATCCTAAGACGTCGGCTACAGATGCTGGGCAAGGGAAGGGAGCTTGCGTATGTCTAAACAGCAGGGCGGGTCTGACCTGTGCACCATCCCCAGCATCTCTTGGTGAGAGCCGTGTGCCTCAGCTCATTTTGTGGCTGGTTTGTAATTCCCAGAACAAGGCAGGAGGTGCACAGTGGCTGGAGGCTTGCTGAGGATGGTACCCACTGCGGAGGGTGGGACACATTCTGTTACTTGGTTGCAGTTGCATGAGCTCCCTACACATGCTTCTCCACCCAACCTTATAACCTCTTAACATTCATGTTTGAAGTCTTGTACTCTTTTTTTTTTTTTTTTTTTTTTTTTGAGACAGAGTCTCGCTCTGTCACCCAGGCTGGAGTGCAGTGGCATTGTCTCAGCTCCCTGCAACCTCTGCCTCCAGGTTCAAGCGATTCTCGTGCCTCAGCCTCCTGAGTAGCTGGGATTACAGGCATACACCACCATGTCCGGCTAATATTTGTATTTTTAGTAGAGACCAGGTTTTGTCGTGTTAGCCAAACAGGCTGGTCTTAAACTTTGGACCTCAAGCCACCCGCCCACCTCGGCCTCCCAAAGTGCTGGGATTACAGGCATGAGCCACCTTGCCCAGCCTGTACTCCTCTTTTTAAATGTAAATCTTATACTAGTTGTGAAAGAAAGGACACGCCATGAATTTCCAGGCAATCTCAGGCTGTCTCTTGGTCGGGTGTGAGATTGTAGTGGTTGGGCCACCTGGGGCCAGACTTCATCCAAACTCAAGGGTCCACCAGCAGATACCACCCGGAAGCCTAAATCAGACCTCTCACTGCCATGTGCTGTGTTTGTTCCAGATCATCGATAAGAGCAAGAGAGACCCCTCGGAAGAGATCGAGATCCTGCTGCGGTACGGCCAGCACCCGAACATCATCACCCTCAAAGATGTGAGTGGTCCTCATGCAGCAGCATCTCCACTTCCTTCTGTTTCTTCAACTGACACAAAAAAAGCTCCCATTCACTCTGAGCAAGCTTTCTCACATCTCATGCCTGTCTGAGCTGGTTTCCACCACCCACATATCTCAGTCACTTGCAGCTGACTTGCTGGACGGTGTACTCAAGTCTTTTTGATAGCCACCGCCCCAGTCATGGAGGGAGCAAGTAAAACAGAGGAAGAGAGAGCTCGTGTGAATGACAGCCCACAGGTGGAGTCTCTCATAGAGGCCCATGGGCTGCAGGGTTTGGGATCCAGGAGCAGAGAGAGGAGACAATTTTCCTCCTCACGCTCCAACTCCAAACTGATTCCAGCATTGTGAACCTAGAGCCACAGGGTGTTGGGCCTACCTCAGTTTCCCTCATGCATAGTGATTGGTGCATGCAAAGGGTCTTAACAAGCAAGCTTGGCATAAGAATAGCCAGAGTGGGCCGGGTGCGGTGGCTCACACCTGTAATCCCAGCAATTTGGGAGGCATAGGCAGGCTGATCATTTGAGGTCAAGAGTTCAAGACCAGCCTGGTCAACATGGTGAAACCCCATCTCTACTAAAAATACAAAATTAGCTGGGTGTGGTGGTGGGCACCTGTAATCCCAGCTACTCGGGAGGCTGAGGCAGGAGAATTGCTTGAACCTGGGAGGTGAAGGTTGCGCTGAACCAAGATCACACCATTGCACTCCAGCCTGGGCAACTAAGAGAGACTCCATTTCAAAAAATCAAAAAATCAAAAGAATAATCAGAGCATATTTTTTAATTGAATTCATGAGATAAAAGCCAGTATGGAGGAAACCATCGTTTTCTATTGCTTGTCTGAAGCAACAGCGTGGCTGTGATACGTGACTTCGCCCTGGACTCTGCCCAGCCTCTCGGCGCTCCCAGCGCCTGGCCACTCAGTGCTGTCTGGGCGGTAGCAGCACAGACATCATGGGAAGCTGGTTAGAAATACAGAGGGCCAGGCCCCACCCCAGGCTGCAGGACCGGAACATGCATTTTAGCAAGATTCCCCAAGATTGGATGTACATTACAGTTTGAAAAACACTGCCCCTGAGGCCCTGCCTTTGCAAGGTGCTTTGCCAATATTTGCATTTCTTAACGTCTAACTATCTCCTGGCAGGCCGGGCACCGTGGCTTACACCTGTAATCCCAGCACTTTGGGAGGCTGAGGCAGGTGGATCACTTGAGGTCAGGAGTTTGAGTCCAGCTTGGCCAACATGGCAAAACCCTGTCTCTACTAAAAATACAAAAATTAGCCGGGCATGGTGATGTGCACCTATAATTCCAGCTACCTGGGAGTCTGAGTCAGGAGGAATCGCTTGAACCCAGGAGCTGCAGGTTGCAGTGAGCTGAGATGGCACCATTGCACTTCAGCCTGGGTGACAGAGCGAGACTTCGTCTCAAAATAATAATAATAATAAATATCTCCTGGCAGAGTCATGAAGCCATTCATCTCAGCTAAGGACACACCCATCTCATGTGTCCCTACTCAGTCCCTGCTTAGCAGTGGATTACTAAAACCATGTTCTTCCTAAAAAGAGCACATCTGGTATGACAGGAATGGCCATTCGCTTCTTCCCTGCAGAAGCCTTGTTTGCACTCCCATAGGACCCTGCGGTCCCAGCCTCTCCCCTCTGACTTCCTCTGCTGCCCCCTCTGGAGTAGTTGCTCTTTCGCAGTAACCAGCCGCGGTGACTGACATGCGCGTCCCTGAGGCCCATGTGCGCCCCTTCTTCCCTCCGCAGGTCTATGACGATGGCAAGTTCGTGTACCTGGTGATGGAGCTGATGCGTGGCGGGGAGCTCCTGGACCGCATCCTCCAGCAGAGATACTTCTCGGAGCGTGAGGCCAGTGACGTCCTGTGCACCATCACCAAGACCATGGACTACCTCCATTCCCAGGGGGTAGGAGCCGTGCCTGGGGCAGCCATCAGGGAGGAGGGAGCTTCAGGGAGGGAACCAAAACCACAAGGGTTTATGGGTTCAAGAGCTGAGAACGCAGATTGTCCTGGAATTCCTTCCGTGCCACCATTGTCCCTCTTGTGTCTGGAGGCTCAGTGAAGTGCAAGGGAAGAAAAATTCTCTTTTCCCGACTGGGCGTGGTGGCTCACGCATGTAATCCCAGCACTTTGAAAGGCCAAGACGGGTGGATCATGAGGTCAGGAGTTCGAGACCGCCCGACTGGGCGTGGTGGCTCACGCCTGTAATCCCAGCACTTTGGGAGGCTGAGGCAGGTAGATCACCTGAGGTCAGGAGTTCGAGACCAGCCTGGCCAACATGGCAAAACCCCATCTCTACTAAAAAAACAAACCTTAGCTGGGCGGGATGGCACACATCTGTAATCCTAGCTACTCAGGAGGCTGAGGCAGGAGAATCATTTGAACCTGGGAGGCGGAGGTTGCAGTGAGCTGAGATAGTACCATTGCACCCCAGCCTGGGTAACAGGACGAGACTCCGTCTCAAAAAAAAGAAAAATTCTTTTTTCCCTCTGCCCATCTTAGTTCTTCGGTGGAGGCCGTATAAACAACACTGGCCAAAGACAGGTTAACAAGAGAAAAACAGAAGTTTATTAACATGTGCATCTCACATACACAGGGGAGCATTCAGCCATGAATAACTCCAAGGAATTGTTAGAACTTGAGCTTATGTAGCATTTTAACAAAAGAACAATAAATTTGCCGGGTGCAGTGGCTCACACCTGTAATCCCAGCACTTTGGGAGGCTGAGGCAGGTAGATCACCTGAGGTCAGGAGTTCGAGACCAGCCTGGCCAACATGGCAAAACCCCATCTCTACTAAAAACACAAAAATTGGCCAGATGTGATGGCTCACACCTGTAATCCCAGCTACTCAGGAGGTGGAGGCATGAGAATCGCCTGAACCTGAGAGGCGGAGGTTGCAATGAGCCAAGATCATGCCACTGCACTTCAGCCTGGGTGACAGAGCAAAACTCTGTCTCAAATTTTAAAACTTTTTTAATTTTAAAAAGAAGAATAATTTTTAAAGAAAAGAGAAAGGACTGCATTTCTAGGGCAGCAAACTGTGGGAAGCTAGGTCTATGGAAAACTAATAGAAGATGAGGGCTAGTTAGGAACATTTGTTATGGAGATCATTCTGGTGGCTTCTCCAGGCTGTAAGGGTCTAGAGTGTCCCTTCCGTCCCTCCAGACAGAGAGGGCAGGAGGGACACTTTACCCATTTATATCCTGCTTTTAGGTAAAGAAGGGGAAGGCAGAGGGCTTTGCTTATATCTGCATCTTTTCCGTTGTTTTCAGCTCAAAATAATCCTTATGGCAAAGCAGCATATTTTGGGGTGGCTGACTCTGCTACCCTTTGAGAGTCTAAAATCATTTGTACCAATTTTAGCCAAAAAACTTTGGCCTTAATCAAAAGAAATTGACAATTTTCGTTACTTGCAATGGGTAACGTTGAATTCATTAACCAGTGCACAGGGACACTGAGGCAGGGATGGCGGTGATGCCTGAGGTTCACGTGGGCCTCACCGTGATCCAGGCTGCACTTCAAACTCTTCATTCACTGACTCCCTAACCCTAGATCACACCCACTGTGCAGGCGAGGGGCACAGGAGTTTGAGTATCTTGCCCAAGGTCACACATGAGTAGGTGGCCAGTGTGGTTGGACCCCGACCCTCTGGTTCCAGGCAGTACTCTCCGTCCCAGCCCTGGCCTCAAAGGGAGGCAGCTGTACCGTGTCACACGTTTCCCTTGTGTGCCGTCTCTTCCCAGTGTTTCTCCTGAAGCAGGAAATATGGTCTTAGCCAGCTGTGTGCGTAGTCCTGAGCCTTCAGAATGCAGTCATCTCCAAACGGGAATATTCTTCCAGGACCACACACTGGGTCTTTTCTGTGTGGTCACCCGGTGGTCTTGAGCATTAAGCTCTTCCAGGTTTTCCCAGTACAGTCAAACTCAGGGGAAGCCCTTCGGATGATGCTTTCTGCAGATCTGCTCATATTTAATGAGCGGAGGCAATGGAAGTGAAACCACAATCTTTCATTTCCTTGCCGTCAGGACCTCTGCAAACCAGGCCTGACTGCTGGAGTGTGTCCCTTTAATTCCCTTCTACATCCTCCCACTGGATTTTATTAGGACAATTGAGGCGTTCAGGATCCAAGCTGTACAAAGACACGCCACATGTCCTCACAATGGCCCTCTGTCCCCTCAGAACACATTGCTTTCTGCCCTAAATAGCCGCTTTGCTTTGAGGTGCGCTGGCCCCACCATCATTGCAGCCAGCGCAATCCTCCTTGGGAGGCCTCAGAGCATGATTGCAGAGTGACTGCATGATCACATGGCCCCGGTCCATCTCCCCCACGAGGTGGTGCGCCCAGGACAGCAGGTGCCTGATCTGTGCCGCTCACTGGCGCTGCTCCAACACCTGACATTGCATGGGGGTGGGCACACAGGGAATAATTACTGAATGAATATCATCTTTAAAATGCTTTTCATTCCCATCACCAGAGCTCACCACATTTCCTTTTATGTGGCAGCTCCAGTAAGCTGCAGCCTCATCTTGGAGAGGTGCTCACTTATTTACTCAAATATTCATTCACTGTAAAAGCAGGTGACACAAGGGGCTCAGATGTGAGTGACCATCACAGAAGAGGAGAAGGTGGGGGGCCCTCTGGAGAAGACAGCAGCTGTTGACACTGCTGGCCTGCTGCCTCCTTGCAGGACCGGCTGGGAAGACAATTCCCAAAGGCACCCTCCCCTCCTAATGCACCTGCCCTCCCTCTCCTGCTCAGTTCTCGGCCCCCAAGTAGGCACCGTGCCTTCTGTCTTGCAGGTTGTTCATCGAGACCTGAAGCCGAGTAACATCCTGTACAGGGATGAGTCGGGGAGCCCGGAATCCATCCGAGTCTGTGACTTCGGCTTTGCCAAGCAGCTGCGCGCGGGGAACGGGCTGCTCATGACGCCCTGCTACACGGCCAACTTCGTGGCCCCGGAGGTGAGCATTCCCAGCCTGCAGACCCAGGCCCCTCCATCCGCAGAGACGCTCTGCGCCTCCCACTGCAGAGCCACTGGACAGCGGGGACAGCGGGGACAGCAGAGGCGGCTTGAGCTGCGTCAGCAGTGGTGTTGGGAAGCAGAAATGAGAACCTTCAGTCTCCTGGGCCAGAGGCCAATCTTGCTTAAACACAGTTGTTCTTATTCTCATTTTCCCACTTGAAAAAACTTCTCAACAGTAACATTTTTATGTAAAATTGTCTTCTGTAGACAATTTGGATGAAATCTCCATATTTATTCCAAGTTAGAGAGATGATACTGTAGTCTCCTTATACAACCAGGACAGAGCTGCAATTCACCTGGGATGGGAGATGGATCCGTCACAGCGCAGGGAGCAACTAAGTCTACGGATTTCCTCTGCACCCCAGTTCTCACTACAGATTGGTTCCCCGGCAGCAGCAAGTCAGCAGCTGTCAGACTGAGAACCGCAGGGCTCCAGGGTGATTTACCACGGAACGCTCACGTTGGTCAGGGTCTGTGTCTGCTCCCAGCCCCACTCAGCAGCTGTCAAGGCACCCGGTGAACTTCTCTCTCTTTTCACGTTTCCCAGGAACAAGTTCCATTAGGTTCTGAAGTCAAGGATGTATTTATAAAGCTAAGCCCAATTTCTTGCCTTTGAGAAAAGCCACGGAATCTGAGCCGGTGGTAAAAAGAGGAAGGGAAGGGCGGTGGCTGATGCTCCTGGTGGGATGGGGGAGGAGGGAACTGGGAAGGAAGGCAGACTTCAGAGTCTGTGTGGATCCCGCGGGTTCTTGATGGAACCGGACCAGAGCTGCTCTGGTGGGAGGGGAGTCAAGCGAGCAGCCAGGCCTGAGGCGACTGGCATCTCGTGGGGGTCTTGGAGCTATTTGAGAGGTCACCCAGGGCCATTGGTGCATGGTAAAGATGCTTCTGCATGCTGAGACATGAATGGACGTGCAGCCAGGGGCTGGGCTGAGAGGCTGTTTTAGGTTATGCAGGGGTTATCCAGACACGTGAGCAACCTGTGGCCCCTTTAAAAATAACCAGGTTTGGCTGGGTGTGGTGGCTTATGCCTATAATCCCAACACTTTGGGAGGCTGAGGCAGGTGGATCACCTGAGGTCAGGAGTTGGAGACCAGCCTAGCCAACATGGTGAAACCCCGTCTGTACTAAAAATACAAAAATTAGCCAGGTGTGGTGGTGTGTGCCCATAGTCCCAGCTACTCGGGAGGCTGAGGCCGGAGAATCGCTTGAACCCAGGAGGCGGAGGTTGCAGTGAGTCAAGATCATGCCACTGCACTCCAGCCTGGTTGAAAGAGCAGGACTCCGTCTCAAAAAATAAAAATTAAAAAAAAAAAAGTAACCAGGTTATAAGTCTCTGTTCTTGCCTTACTTAATCAACATTAATATTGATAATATTACAGGGGAGGAAAATCACATTTTCCTCATCCCTCCTAAGTTCTTAGCTGGACCAGACCCCTGTGACAAAAGACAGATTAACAAGAGAAAAAGAAGTTTACTAACACATCTTCTGATGTTTGCATGGGAGATGCCCAGGGAATGAGTCGTTCTGACAGAGGTGGCTTTGAGTCCAGCCTACATGACATCTTCAACAAAGAACAGAGAATTTTTAGAGACCTGGCAAGACAAAGGAAGAGGGCTTTGGGTCTCCAGGGACTGCAGCTTGGGGAGGTACAGGGCTGGCCAATGGAGGCTGGTTCTACATGGGACCACATGGGTCCAAAGCTGTCCCTAGGGAAAGCCTTTGTCCTCTCTGGTGGGGGTTGGTACCTCTTGTCTTAATCCATGTCCTGATTTTAGACAAATGGAAGACATAGAGCGTTCCTGCATCTGCCTCTTCTTAGGTATCTTCAGCTCAGCGCCCCTCACGCCTATGCAGCATATTTTGGGGTAGCATATTCTGGTCTCCCACAATATTGATTTTATTGATTACAGAATGCCCTAGGTTGTGATACTCCTTTGCCATTTACAAAGCACTTTTACCAACTTTTTTTTTTTACTTTTACTCTCATCCACCATACGAAGTAGGCAGGGTATAATCTATTAACCATGTTTCGCAGATTCAGAAAGCACAAGCTCCGTGTGTGTAAGTGACTGCTGAAGGCTGCCCAGCTGATGGATTAGGAAGTGAGGCTTGCACCATGAGCACTGCATTCATTCAGCACGTGCTGGCTGGTCCCCTCCATGGTGCAGGCTCGCACACGGTGGCAGCAATACAGAGAGGAAAGGACAGGCTCCTCGCTCTCATCTCTGTGGAAATTGAGCCGAGCTCTCCCGACTCAATATTTAATGCTAAATCCAATCATCTGCAGTAATCCATGAGCACTGATGCGGCTTCCTTTGTTGTAACTCAACTGTAACTATCTCAGAGGATTGCCCTCTACTGAAGTATGTAATCCTAGCATGCATACAAGTTTTGCTGCTTTAACAGTTCTTCAGAAAAATTAAACATTATCATGTAGCCCGGAATGGAACTTCTGGGTATACACCCAAAAGACTTGAAGGCAGGAACTCAGACAGACATGTGTCCGCCCATGTTCACGGCTGACATGGGCGTGAACAGCTGAAAGGTAGAAACCACGCGGGTGTTACTAAGTGATATTAGCCAGTCACAGAAAGACAAACATTGCATGATTCTACTCATATGAGGTCCCTAGAGGAGTCAGATTCATACAGATGGAAAGTAGAAGGGTAGGTGTTAGGAGCTGGGGGACAGGGAATTGTTTAATGGGGACAGTTTCAGTTTGGGAAGGTGAAAATGCTCTATGGATGGATGGTGGTGGTGTTGGCACCATGATGTGAATAAGCTTAATGCTACTAAACTGCACCTAGAAAGGGCTTTGATGGTCAATTTTATGTTATACGTATTTCGCCATAACAGAAAAATCCTTCTGCCTTAAAAATTAAGGCCCTCCTTTTTAGCCTGTCTGTCATGTGTCTGGCAAGAGCACTGGTTCACCATGTGGCTGTCCTGGGAGGAGTCCCACTGCAGTACCTTAGGGTTGGCTTTGCATTAAGAAACAGTGGTCACACCGAAGACACAGCACTGTCCTCCTCCTAGTCCCCAGCTTGCTGGCATAGGATGCCGCTGGAGAAATGTGCTGTCAACCTGAATGTCCTTCGTGAAGGGCATGCCGGTGTCCTGTCGTTCCCTCCTAGGTCCTGAAGCGTCAAGGCTACGATGCGGCGTGTGACATCTGGAGTTTGGGAATCCTGTTGTACACCATGCTGGCAGGGTAAGCAGTCGCCTCAAACAGGTGTCAGGAGGAGACACGGGGCAGCAGCCTCAGTGACTGGTCTGTTAGGGGACCAGGGCCATCCCCGTCCTAGTGTGCACATGTGGGCAAACCCAATGCGTATGCAAACACTCCCAGACCTTGAGTGAACACTCGCAGACTTCCTTAGCCCCTCAGGACAACTGGACAAGAGCAAGAAATGTAGCCACACATTTTCTTTAAACTCAGCTCATGAACAAAACATCCAACATTTTGCCAGCATAGTCCCCATTCTCTCTGCTGACCCTGCCACTGTCTTAAATGGTAGCAACAGATGTGCCTTCCAGACATCCTCTTAAACCAGAAGCATCCATAGCAGCTTCAGGGTCAAACGGTGTCTGTACCTGGCTTTCGTGGTTGTGAGTCATGCATGGGCCGGTTCATTGTGGTGAGACACGTGGTGTTACAAAAAGTGGCCTGGGCCTGCCATCCAGACAGCTAACTTCCCTCTGAGCCCCACTCGCCATTAGCCGTGACTCTGGGCTAAACACTTGAACCTGTACCGGCCTCCCTTCCCTCTCTCCTGAGTGAGAAGAGGACACACCGTGGCTGCTTCTAGGCAGGAAGGTCTAGGATCCTACAAGATCCGCTGGTTCCTATTACGTTTATTAAATACTTGGAGGCAAAAAGAAAAGAAAAGAACCCTAGACCATCCAATCCTGTTTGTTCTAGCAAAATGGCCTGAATGCCCCCATGAGAATGAATGAGCTCGGCCTGCTTTTCACGTATTTCATCAATAGGTAGTGTCCACAGCAGAAGAAGAGTAAATCAGGTGCCTGAAGCCGCACCCCGAGGACTGCAGTAGCAAAGGAAGAAACCTCAGTTTCTTACCAATGCCACAGTCAGGTTATTTTGTGATGCTTCTAATACTCACTTTGCCTATATGGAAAACTAGATCACAAACTTTCCCACTAGAGGAAGCGCTGGCAGCACACGTATCCTTCCTTTTCTAGGAGTGTGTGGGTGTGTGTGAAGGTGGGACACCAGGAATACCTCCCACACGTTGGAATACGGTCAGGGCTGCACCAAGCATGTATGTGTATTCATGCATACGCTCTGCATTTGCAATGGAGACTCAAAAAGTTAACTTGTCAAAGAACACAGAGTTGGTAACACATCCACCGTGGGTCTTTCAGACTCCACGTCTCAGGCTCTCTTGCATGATGCTACACCGTCACCATGGCACCAGGCAGCTCACTAGGCCACCCCGTCCCAGTTTACCTGGGTCCAGAGGGGATACAGCACAGGTCTCACAGGGCTCTCCCACTTGCCCATCAACCTCTAGCCACCCAATGGCTAAGGAAGGAAAATGGGCAAAGTGTTAAGAGGTAAGTTCCGAGTTCCGCTTTCCCGTGAATCCTGGCTGCAGAGCAGAGGAGGGGGAAGCAAAGCGCTGTTCTTTTTAACAGCCGAGGGGTGATAGCAACTTGAAAACTTTATTTTAGGTTGTAAAATGGAAGCTCATTACCACAAATTGTCTAATTATACAGATTTACCCCTTTTGCAAATGGGCCAGACGATACCCCTGAGGAGATTTTGGCGCGGATCGGCAGTGGGAAGTATGCCCTTTCTGGGGGAAACTGGGACTCCATATCTGACGCAGCCAAAGTGAGTACATGTCCCAGCGTCGCTTTTAAATATTCAGATTCTGAAACAGCCATATTATTTCTGAGGAAGCCAGTGGATAGGTTCTCTATAAGTAGTGTAGGTATTTTATTCTCAGCATCTTTTTTTTTTTTTTTCTTAAAATGGAGTCTCACTCTGTCTCACCTAGGCTGGAGTGCAGTGGCACAATCTCGGCTCACTGCAGCTTCCGCCTCCTGGGTTCAAGTAATTCTCCTGTCTCAACCTCCCAAGTAGCTGGGACAACAGCTGTGTGCAACCACACCCGGCTAACTTTTTTGTATTTTTAGTAGAGACTGGGTTTCACCATGTTGGCCAGGCTGGTCTCGAACTCCTGACCTCAAGTGATCCACCCACCTCGGCCTCCCAAAGTGCTGGGATTACAGGTGTGAGCCACCACGCCTGGCCTTATCCTCGGCATCTTTTAAGCCTTTCATCTAAAAACATTATTTCCAAAAACATTTTTAGCATGTTCACATTTTCTAGTGTCTTGGTATGTTATACAGGGTTCTCCAAAGAAAAAGAACGCGTGTGTGTGTGTGTGTGTGTGTGTGGTGTGTGGAGAGAGAGAGAGATTTATTTGTAAGAAATTGGCTCACGTGACTGTGGGGATGGGGAAGTCTGTGACTGCAGGGCAGCTGGCAGGCTGGAGCCCCAGGGAGGAACGGATGGGGCAGTTGCCCAGCACAGGCCGTCTGCCACAGAACTCCCTCCTCCTCAGGGGAGCACAGTCTTTTTCCTAAGGAGGCCTTCCACTGACTGGATGAGGCTGACCCACATTGTGGAGGGTAACTGCTTTACTCAAAGTCGACTGACTTAAGTGTTAACCACATCTGAAAAAAACCTTCACAGCAACATCTAGACTGGGTAACATAACCCAGCCACGTTGACACATAAATTTAACCACCACGCTTTTAGCAATATTGCAGAATGATTGCCCTGCATGTTCATAAACCAACCAAGTAGAGCTGTGGTTCAGAGATGTACTTCTATTCTTGTAAAATACTTGGAGTTTGGCCTTGTCTGCAGTCCACACAGTTTATAACCTGCCTTATTTCCTTTGACCATCAGGCGGTTTTTTACTTGGCATCATCAAATTCCTATCTAATCCAATAGTAAATCATAATCCAGCCACTGGTAAGCAGCACCAACAGCTGTTTCCAGTGTTCATGTAAAAGGGCTGGAAGAGAAGGAGTCAGGGCCTCTGATTCCAATTCTGCTGTTGTCATCTCAGTGCAGCTTCATGCAGTCAAGGTGGAGGTGACGATTGTGGAGATGATGGTGGAGGTAATGGCGGGAATGATGATGGAGGTGAGGGTGTAGGGATGGCAGAAGTGGTGGCAGTGGTGGCGACAGTGATGATGGAGGTGGTGGTGAAGGCATGGTGGAGGGGATAATTGTGGAAATGGTGGAGATAGTGGCAGGAGTGATCATGGAGGTGATGGTGGAGGTGATGATGGTGGAGATGATGGTGGAGGTAATGGTGGGAGCAATGATGGATGGCAAAAGTGGTGGCAGAGGTGGCAGCAGTGATGATGGAGGTGATCATTGTGGAGGTGACAGTGGGAAATGATGGAGGTGATGAAGGGATGACAAAAGTGGTGGCAGAGGTGGTGGTGATCATGGAGGTGATGGTGGGAGATGATAGTGAGAGGTGATGGTAGTGATTGTGGAGGTAATGGTGGAGGTGATGGGGATGATGGTGAGGGTAATGAGGGTAATGGCACAGATGATAGTAGAGGTGATGGTGGAGATAATGGAAGGTAATGGTAGAGATGATGGTGGAGGTGATGGGGAAGCATGGCAAGTGATGGTGGAGGGTGATGGTAGAGGTGATGAAGGAGGGATCGCAAGGGTGATAGTGGAGGTGACGGATAAAAATGGTGAGGGTGATGTTGGAGGTGGTGGTGAAGATGATGGTGAGGGTGATGTTGGAGGTGGTGGTGAAGATGATGGCGACAGTGATGGTGGAGGTGATGGAGGAAGGATGGCTAGGGTGATGGAAGTAGTGGTGAAGATAATGGTGACAGTGATGGTAAAGGTGAGGGTGAGGGTGATGGTGGGGGTGATGGAGGTAGGATGGCGAGGGTGATGATGGAGGTGGTGAAGATGATGGTGAGGGTAATGGTGAGGGTGATGGTAGAGGAGGTGATGAAGATGATGGTGAGGATGATGGTGAGGCTGATGGTGGGGGTGATGGAGGAAGGATGGCGAGGGTGGTGGTGGAGGTGATGGAGGAAGGATGGTGAAGGTGATGGTGAGGATGATGGTGGGGTGAGGGTGAGGGTGGTGGTGGGGATGATGGAGGAAGGATGGTGAGGATAATGGTGGGGGTGATGGTGAAGATGATGGTGAGGATGGTGGTGGGGGTGATGGAGGAAGGATGGTGAGGATCATGGTGGAGGTGGTGGTGAAGATGATGGTGAGGGTGGTGGTGGGGGTGATGGAGGAAGGATGGTGAGGATGATGGTGGAGGTGATGGTGAAGATGATGGTGAGGATGGTGATGTGGTGATCATGGTGGAGGTGGTGGTGAAGATGAAGATGAGGGTGAGGGTGATGGTGGGGGTGTGGGAGGAAGGATGGTGAGGATGATGGTGGAGGTGATGGTGAAGATGAGGGTGAGGGTGGTGGTGGGGGTGAGGGAGGAAGGATGGTGATGATGGTGGAGGTGATGGTGAAGATGAGGGTGCAGGTGGGGGTGAGGGAGGAAGGATGGTGAAGGTGATTGTGGAAATGATGGCAGAGGTGATGGCAGCTGGCATTTAGTGAGCATATCCCACATGTCAGACCCTGACAGTCCAAGTGCTCCTTTCCACACCCTCACTTTTTCTTAAATGAGTGTAGGACTTGTCTTAGTTCTGGTTCCCAAAATAGAGCCTCAGACTAGGTCGTGGGTGCTGGTGGTTTGTCTGGAAGGCCATCTTGGAAGCTGGTGTGGGAGCAGGGAGAAGGTGTTGGGAAAGGAGCAGAGTCAAGGACAAAGGCACATTGTCGAGATCACTGCTGCGGGCAGAAGTCTCTGCCGCCTCACAGGACCTCGCCAGCCCTTCCTGTCCCTCACCACCAGTCCCTGCCATCAGCACATCCCACCCCTGTTTTTTCCCCGTGCCTCTTCCTTTCTCTTACTTAGCACACAACAGAACCTCCAGTCCCCCAAACACCAGCAAAGCTACAGATTAGTATGTCTTTCTCCACATCCTACAGGTATAGAGTAAAAATACTGCTTCTCTCAGTGTCTTGACTATAAGATAATGAAAGAGTTAATAAAGCACTCTTTGCTTTTGTTTTTTACACCTGAAGATGACAACACTCATACTTCTAGGAGATATTTGTTTCAAGAAATTACCAAGGTTAATGTTATCAAATATCAAAAGGCGTTAGATTTTTCTGTATAAAAAGGATATTGTTATTGTGCATAGTATTTCTTAGTTGTTTCATGACCAAAAATTCTAATGAGTAATTCCACTTCACATTATATATGCATTCTTTTTTTTTCTTTTTCTTTTTCTTTTTTTTTCCGAGATGGACTCTTGCAATGTAGCCCACGCTGGCGTGCAATGGTGCAATCTCAGCTCACTCCAACCTCTGCCTCTTGAACTCAAGTGATTCTCCTGCCTCAGCCTCCCAAGTAGCTGGGATTACAGGCGCCTGCCACCACACCCAGCTAATTTTTGTATTTTTAGTAGAGATGGGTTTCACCATGTTGGCCAGGCTGGTCTCAAACTCCTGACCTCAAGTGATCCACCCACCTCGGCCTCCGAAAGTGCTGGGATTACAGGCGTGAGCCACCGCGCCCAGCCACATTCTAATTCGTTTTATTACCTCTTCGTATGGGGTGGGAACACTAAGGAAGGAGAGTAGGCTAGTGGATAGAAGATGGATTCTCATCTTGGATCTTCCTCGGGCAGTGATGTCTTCATCTGCAAATTAGGAAAAGTAATATTTGCCCCATTTACCTCAAGGATGATTATGGTGATTACAGCAGAAGCATCAGGTGTATCTGCAAATGTAATTCACACTGTCACCAAGTACTCCGCAAATGTAATTCACTGTAGTAGAATGTGCACTGTATTGTGTGTGTATGTGTACACACGTGGAGTCTCGTTTTAGAGGTTTTTACTGCTATGACTTTACAATGAAATAGAAAAAGACCTTTATTGCATCACATGGCTCCAGATTGTAGATGTTACAGTTTGTGATTATTCGTAGTAAATATCTGTGGGTAGTCCTGATAAAAAATGTAAGTATGTGCGTCATGATGAGTTGATTTCTACCTGTGGAATATTTATTATTTCAGCTTCTCCCTTTGGAAAGATATCATTGTTACAAGAAACAGTGTTTCATCGATTTACATGCATCGTCTAACATTTCCACATTTAACTTCCTTTTAGACGTGAAAAATTTAATGAAAGATAAACCTTCAGTGAACTTCTAAGTTTGCTGATACTTAAAGCTAAAAACCATTGACATACTTCTAAACCTGAAAGTGAACACTTGACCCCAAAATGCAAAGACCCACACTCGCATAGCATAGTGGTTGGGTGTTGCTGTAGACGGAGAGAAGAAGTTCTGCTGGGGAGGCTCTCTGACCCAGCACAGATGATCCAAACATCCCCCGCACTCTCGTGCCCTTCCCTGGCAGGACGTCGTGTCCAAGATGCTCCACGTGGACCCTCATCAGCGCCTGACAGCGATGCAAGTGCTCAAACACCCCTGGGTCGTCAACAGAGAGTACCTGTCCCAAAACCAGCTCAGCCGACAGGACGTGCACCTGGTGAAGGTACCAGCAGGCAACAGTGTGGACACAGTGGTGGGAATGGGAAACCCAGAAAAGAACCTGACACCTTGCAATTACTCTGAAGAAACCAGGGAGTGCAGAGAAAGAGCCCATAGCAGTCCCAAACTGCACCGCCGGCCCACTCACCTTCACGTACTTCACCAGACATGCGCGGTCACGCACAGCGCGCCTCTGATTAGGTGGCAGCCTCTGCGGACGTGGTGGCAGCTGGTGTGGCTGTTCCACTCAAGTTCAAAGCCTCCATTCTAGGCCACACGTGCAAAAAAGTCCCCACTTCATAAGTGACTCACATTCAGGCAGCAGTTGCCTCTCAGGCACCCCATCCTCTGGCCTGGGACTCCTCTTCTGAGAAGTATAGACTGTCCCACCCCAGCAGGCCTAGGCATGACCCAGTTAGGAGCAGTCCCCTCCAGATCCATGCTGAGAACTGGGATTCACTCCAGGATATGCCTGTTCCTCCAGATGAGTCCAGACTCCTCAACAGTGGCCAAAGTCCAGGTTGACAGGCCCTGGCATTTGCTGTGCGTGTGTCCTAGGACCCAGCAAGCCCCAAAACAGACCTGGCCTCACTGTCAGAATGCAGGGGATCACGCGACCTCAGCTTGGGGGCTCCACAAGAGTCTAAAACATTTTTCCCCAAGGCACAAGCACAGTGCGAGGGTGGCACGGGGCGGGGGGCAGGTGCAGGAATGAGAAGCCCCTGTCTCCTGGGGCCCACAGTACCCCATGCTCCAGGGACCCTGGGGAAGCTCCGATTTCCCCCACATTGCCTGGGGGCAGCCGAGGCCCCTGGAGGCCCCGGGCTCCGGCTCCACCCCCGGAGTGAGGCACCACGGCTCTCACCCTTGCCCTCTGTTTTGCAGGGCGCGATGGCCGCCACCTACTTTGCTCTAAACAGAGCACCTCAGGCCCCGCGGCTGGAGCCCGTGCTGTCGTCCAACCTGGCTCAGCGCAGAGGCATGAAGAGACTCACGTCCACGCGGCTGTAGCAGGTGGGACCCTGGCCCCAGCGTCCCCCGCCAGCGTCCTCGTGGGCTCGCAGACCCCGGCCTCGGAGCCCATCTGGCACCCAGAGTGACCACAAGTCCAGCAGGGAGGCGGCGCCCGCCCTCGCCGTGTCCGTGTTTTCTTTTTCAACCCCGGAGAGGGTCCTGACCCGGGGGCTTCTCCAAGCCTCACTGCGCCAGCCTCGCCGCCCGCTCTCTTTTCTCCCAAGCAAAACCAAATGCGCCCCTTCACCTCACGTGCCCGTGCGAGGCCGGGGGCTTCTTTCAGAACCCGCGGGTCTTCTCCTATCACGGCTTCTTTTCTGCCAAGAGATCTGTGTTCCAATTATGAAGCCGGTCGGTTTAGTCAGACTTGCGCTGCCGACGTCCCGGGTACCCGGTGGGAAAGTGGCAGTGCAAAGGCGCAGCCGTCGGTGGTTGCAGGGCCCTAGAGGGCTGGGGTGACCTGGTATCCTGGGGCTCCCCACGGGCTGGATGAGGGGGTTGGCACTGTGGCGTCCAGGGGGAGACGCCTGGTTCTGCCCAAAATAATCCAAAGAGCCGTTTCCTCCTCGCCCTTCAGTTTTTGCCTGAGGTGCTGGGTAGCCCATCCTATCCTCTGTCCCAAATTCAAAGGAGGAGTAAGAGCCCAGGCGACAGCAAGGTGGGCTGGATCTTTGCCTTGAGAGCTCCGTGTCACCACGGATGGAAGGGGGCGCCTCCCGGAGGAGCCTGTGTCCACCTCCAGTCTTGGCTTTCCCCCAGGGGCCAAGTGCACTGGGCTGCCCTTGGTCCCCAGCTCCGGTGGTCACACAGCTACCTGGAGGCTTTGCAGGGAGCCGTGGGTTCTCACGCCTTCTCAGCCCTGTGTCAGCTTCCTGTGTGCTCACCCAAAGCCGTGGTTCTGCTGTGTTCACTTCGATTTTTCTGGTCTACGGAGAAACTGTGAATTTGAGAAATGGAGCTCTGTGGCTTCCCACCCAGTCCTTCTCAGTCCAACTGGAGGCTGGAGGGAGACGCAGGCCCCACCCAGCAGACTAAGGGGCAGGGGCACAGGTCGGAGGGCAGCGGAGATCAGCGTGGACAGGAGCGATGCACTTTGTAGATGCTGTGGCTTTGTGTTGCGTTTTGTGTCTCTGTTGCACAGATCTGTTTTCACACAGATCCGTATACCCTAGGGTGTGCACACAGGGTGGGTGTGGGGCATTTAGGCCATGCTGTGCTCTCCTTCATTGAGTAAAATCGAGTGAGAGGTTCCAGGCAGGAGGCTTGATGCCCAGTCCAGCCCGCAGAGGGAACACACGGGTCCTTCATTCTCCCGTAAGGGTGTTGAAGATGCTCCCCGGCGGCCGCCAAGCCAGGGTACCCAGCAAGTGGACTGGGTGGGAGGGGGCGCCGCTCACCCCCTCACCCTGCATTACTGAAGAGCCCCGCGTCTGCAGCAAGCGGAGCTTCAGGAGGCCTCCGCTGGCCACAGCCAGGTTTTCCCTAAGAAAATGTTACTGTGTTGGGATTTGTTCCCCCTCCATCTCGATTCTAGTACCCAACTAAAAACAAAACAAAACAAACAAACAAAAAAATGTGCTGCGTTCTGAAAAATAACTCCTTAGCTTGGTCTGATTGTTTTCAGACCTTAAAATACAAACTTGTTTCAGAAGCTTTAATCCATGAAGATTTTTTTTTTCTTAGAGAATCACAAAACATAAAAGGAGCAAGTCGGACTGAATACCCGTTTCCATAGTGCCCACAGGGCAGTCCTCACCTTTTCTCCATAGAAGATGCTTTTTCCCAAGGCTGGAATTACTTCCACCATGATGAATTTGCTTTTTAGGTCTTAATTATTTCACTTCTTTTTAGAAACTTAGGAAAAAGTGGATAATCCTTAGGTCACAGAATTTGTCCTCCCAGAAATGAACAAAAGTCATCACCTCTTCTGCTTGCTACGCAGGCACAAGCTCATGGTCTTTTTCAGTCATCCCAGTTTGTACAGACTTAGCTTCTGAACTCTAAGAATGCCAGAGGGACTGACGAGACTCCCCATCACAGCGAACTCTGTCCTTACATATATTTGATGTGCATCAGCGGAGGAGAACACTGGTTTGGCCCTGCTCTGCCGAGGGTCTGTGAAATACCTCTACTTTCCTTCCCATATGCAGAACAAAGTGATACTGGAAATCCTTCCACAAAAGTCAGCCTAAAGAAGCTATGGTATCATATGTTAAACTAAGCTTTCAAAACCCTTAGTGATATAGCAGGTGACTGCTTTCAAGCAGCAGTCGACATGTAAATGAAGGTGTTCTTAGAATTCGCATTTTACCAGCTCAGCGCACCTCCACGTCAAAAGAAATGCTCTGTATGATTTGCACAAATGACATAGACCTCCCCAAAGGTTAATTGGCTCTCCTTGCTCACACAGATCATCTCATAACCACCACCCCCCGCCCCCGGGTCATGAAAATCACAGAACTTAATACGCACACTGAACCCTAGATCTCAGGCTTCCTGACCTACCGCGAGTGGCCCCTTGCTGGCCACCCTATAGGGTCCTCCTTCCCTGGCAGCCCCCTGTGTGGGAGAAATACCTGATTCTCCCAATCTGCAGTGGGAGAGCTTTGCTGAATTCCACCCCAAAGTCAAACATGGGCAAGAGGTGAGGATTTCACTTTTACCCTCAAGTCCGATTTGTCTGTGATTTTAAACTAACTGTGTATGTATTGATGTTTGGAAGATTGTTTGAATTTTAAAGTGGTAATAGTACTTAATGTTAGCCAGTATTGTTCATTAAATGGCGTTATCCTAAAGCTGCACTTGGGATTTTTACCTAACGCTTTACTGATTCTCTCAAGCACATGGCAAAGTTTGATTTGCACTCCGTTCATTTTCTGACACGGTTTTGCTGCCTCCTACCTTTCTAAGCGTCATGCAAATTCGAGAACGGAGAAGGACGCTGCCGGTCCCTGAGCAGTGCGGAGAGGGCGGCAGGTGGACTCCAGCGCAGCTTGAGGGGCTGAGGACGGAGGCTGCAGCGTCTGTGTCGTTCTACTGAGCACGCTTCTCTGCCTCGCTCCTGACTCAGCACTTTGTTCACTGGCTCAGCAGTTATGTTTACACATCATTTTTATGTTCCTGCTTTGTAATTCATGTTTGAGATGGGTGGCCACTGTACAGATATTTATTACGCTTTCCAGACTTTCTGAATAGATTTTTTTGAATAAACATGGTTTTATGAAGTGTAATCTTTTTCTAGCCTAACAATAACCTTTGGACTTTCTGTGTTGTTACCAATAACAGTCTGGATAGCTCCCCACTCCTCTGGCCCCTCCCGCTGGCTTCAGGCCATGACCACCTCTGCCACTACCATGTGACCCCTCATGGGGAGGTGAAGCAGCATCGTGACCACTCCACCTCAGAGCCCTGTGCGTGAGTGTGTGCAGGTGGGTGAGCTCATGCATATGCGTGCATGTACACATGTGTATGTGCACATGTGTGCATGTGTAGGTGGGTGAGCTCACGCCTATGTATGTGCACGTGTGTGTACTTATGTCTGTATGTGTGCACACGTGTGTGTAGGTGGGTGAGTTCATGAGTGTGTACACATGTATGCTTACGTGTGTGCACGTGTGTGGGTGGGTGTGTTCATGCAGATGCATGTGTGTGCACATGTGCACTTGTGTGTGTATATGTGGAAGTATGAGTTCATGCATGTGTGTACATGCATAAATGAGTGTGCATGAGAGCACATGTGAACATATGGATGTATGGTTGTGTGTGTGTGCATTAGGGCCCGTGTGTCTGTGTGTGTGCATGCACTCCTGAGAGGAGCCCAGCTGTGTTATGGATCTGGGGCTGGCAGGAGACAGTGGAAGGTCATCTTGTGCAGCAGAGCAGGTGCCCAGCACACGGCCCTGGGAACAGCCCTCACTGTGTCTCCTGTGCTTTGCCACCTGGTCTCAGCACGCCCATCCCTTTTTAATACAGACATAAAGCCAGTCTGCACTGTTGGTCCTTGGCTCTCCAACCCAATTTATTCTTCCTATTTGGTAAATTCCTTCCTAACCAGCTTGTGTCAGCAAGCAGCGCACACACACACACACACAACACCGTGCAGACACATGCACACGCACACACCTTTGCTCCTGTGGTAGAATGCCCGATTTTCTGAGCTGCTCTCCCAGCAGGGTGAAGGGGGCCTTGCTGAAATCTATGAGACTCTCTGTGTAGGCAGGAGCCCTGGATCCCACTGAGGAAACTGCAGGACAAACAATAGATATAGAAAAAATCCTGCCTCTTGCTCTACCCAGGAAGTGCCCACAAAAGGCCTACTGACAGAGGCATCATTTGAAAAAAAAAATACCTTTTACATCCTCTATGTATCATTTTCTATTTCTGCCCTAGCAAATCCCACAAGCCTGTCGCATAAAACAGCAGCATCTACTATTGTCTTACAACTCTGTAGGTCCCAAGTCCAAGACAGGGCTCTCCGAACTAAAACCGGTATGTGGGCAGCGCTGCCTCCTTCCAGAGGCTTGCAGGGAGAATCCGATTCTTTTCCAGCTTCCAGAGGCCATCTGTGCTCGGCAGCTCGCGGCCCCTCCCGCCTCCTCCACATTCAGCAGTGGCAGGTGGAGTTCTTCTCACACCCTCTCCTCTGCCCGGCCCTCCTGCCTCCCTCTTCCAATTCTAAGCCCTGTGAGCACACTGGCCCACCAGGATATTTGGGAAACTCTCCCTATTTTAAGGGGGTCTGATTAGCACCCTGAATTCCACCGGCAACCTCAGTTCCCCTTTGTCACAGCTTCCAGGGATTAGGATGTGGACTTTGGTGGGGAGATGGATTATCCCGCCTGCCACATACATGTAGTTGAGCATAGCTCTGCGTACACTTGTCCACCCGCACATGTTTTTTTGGTTGGGGAAGACGAGGTGTCCAGACTGAAGTAAGTCTCTGAGGCTTGGCCCTACTTGCAGGCTCATGGATGCTGGATGAAGACACAAGACTTCCAGATCAGAGACCCTACAGCAAACAGCATGGGCCCCGCACACATCAGTCCCCGTGCGCGCTAAGCCTTATGGGGTGGTGGAGAGCGGCCCAGGTGGATGTGCTGCTGCATATGTTGAATTTGCGTCACAGATGAGGACCCTGACTTAGGAAACCCCAATTGTTTATGGAGGGATGCAGGCAAACCCACCCCCTTTGTCCTGGAAGGGGACACTCGATTACAGTGGACAGGAAAATGCCTGCCTTTGGCCCCAGAGAGACGCTGCCTCTGCCTCGCAGGGCTGTTTACTGCACAAATGTCCTCGGACAGACAGTTCAGAGCCAAAGCAGCTAGAGATTGCGGAAAGGCAAGAGACCCGTGGAGATTTGCCTCCCGGTGGCTCAGTGTTGTAACGCTGGACCCCAAATGCTGGACTGAATGTTGACTAAGAATCCACTGACAGGCCTGGAGAGGAGGGTTAGACTCACACTTGGGCTGTCACCTTTATCTGTGGAGAAACTCAGCTTAATGCTCAGTCTCAGATGCATCTGAGGACATAAAGATATTTTTATAGAACTTGAAAGAATCCTCCATACACCTATCATATGTATAACGATAGGTATAGATCTGTCATCCTCACATGGAGGGAGGTACAGATATGTACCTATATGTACATATGCTAGGTATAGATATAAATTAGAAATATATAGTATATAGATATAATATATAGATATATATATTTGTTCTCAAAATTCAGGTAATTACTTGTCCTGATTAATACCAATCTGGGACATTAGCAGTATTTGCAGAAAACAAGTGGGGGAGCCAGGGAACTTTGACTCCCACTTTCCAATGCAGCCCAGGGGGCATTGAGTGAAAGTTACTGCTTCCCCCAAATTTAGGGCTCAACAAATTCTTAACATTGTATCTGGCCCATGACCTTTTAGGTACGATAACTTTCTCATTTGTACAGGCAGATCTGAATGCAACCCATAGCCCTGGAGATCTGGAGCTGGCTCTGCCGTCCTGTGTGGCACGGGTCCTGGAGCTGGCTCTGCCGCCCTGTGTGACACGTGTGCTGGAACTGGCTCTGTCCTGTAGTTCTGCCTGCTTAGGCCTAATAGGGATGAAGGTGCCTCTCTCCAAGTGAGGACGACCGGTTACACACCTGCCACGTGAAGCTGTCATCTGGGGACAGCTTCCCCCGGCCCAGCACACCAAGTGCTCTCTGCAATTTGCATCAGCCTCTTTGGTTGTGGACTTCAGCACTGCCCAGGGCTCTCCGTAGCCGGCGCAGCCACAGTGTGGGTGTGAGAGGCCGTCACTGCGGGAACCTGAGCACCTGCTTGCAAATAAAGGGTGCTCAGAAAACACGCTGCCTTGCAGAAAACACCGGGATATTCTGGCACACATTTGTCTGTGGATGTCAGCCTGTGACTCCAGGCGAGGGGGCCATTCTCGGATGGTTAAACGTCAATGTGGACAGTCTGGACACCCAGGATCAGTCTAATGGGGTTTCCTAGACGCTTCAAGGATGGTCAAGCATCCCTAGAGATGGACAGTGGGACGCCAAGGGCCTCCTGGGGGGCAACCATGTGTCCCTGTGCCCAGACCTGCCCAAGGCCCTTAAATCCCCTCTTCCTCCAGGCCCCCTTCTGTCTTCCAGATCACGTGCCAACATCCTCCCCGGTGCAGGAGTCAGAGAAGAGAGCCTAGAAAACCCCTGCCTCTCTCCCCATCACAATCTTAGCTTGACCTTCCTTCAGTGTCCAGCGATCTCTTCAGTCAACCCCGTGCTTTCCACCTCTTTACCTTTCCACCTCGTTACCTACAGGTGTGATGAGAAGAGTCCAACCTCGACAACCGTGGGCTCTGAGAATGCCAAGCTGGACCACACACACTCTGCCTCCACCCTGCCACTCACCACCACCAGCCCCAGCTCTCACCCGTGTCTGTCCGCTGAGCTCCTCCCCTTCACCACTCTGCAGGGAGGGCCAGACACACTGAGCACTCCCAGACCAGGCCCGGGGCCGTCCTGAGCCTGACAACCTCCTTGTTATAGTGTCAGTTATAGGAGGTTTATGGAACCCACACTTGCCACTGTCATTACAAGTTTGTCACCAGCAAGGACCATCAGAGGGTAGCTGACTCAGGGCACATCAGTTCGGAGTGATCTGCTGCTCAGCTGTCTCGGGGAGCCAGCTCAGGGAGCGAGGGCGGAAGGAAGGAAGGCTGGATCTTCACAATAAGGGGCCGGGGCAGGGCCAAGCACCATTTATGGGCACTGCCACCGCCAAGACACTGGGGTTGCAGATTTCAGGTTTCAGCTGCGCCACGAAGGGACAGTGTGTGAGCCCGGTTCACTGACCCTGCTGCCTTTACCTCTGCT